GCTGTTGATTCATTGATTTCAGCTGTGTGGTTCCCAATTTGTTCTGTGTTAGTGTCCTCTGCACTTGTTATGGGTAGGCTTGGGGTCTGAGACTGCATTTTGCTCCTTCTCATTGTCATTTTGTGTAGCAGTGTCTTCTGACCTTTGTTGTAGAACTTTGGTGCAGTTATAACCTTAGCACCTACTGAAATTCAGGTGCAGATCTACAAAGTTTGGATTTATCTTGGTGTGCCTGCCTTGGGTTTGGCTTCTGTGCTCAGCTCCTTCCTGCTGCCGCCCTTGGGAGTGAACCTGTTGTGCCCCTCTGGCAAGATGTTCTTCTCCTGGACTAGCTGAGTGGTTTTGTCCTGTACTCTCTGCAGGGATTGCAGCTGCAGACTTTCACCCCAGGTCTCTATGCCAGGCCAGAGCTGAGTCTGGAGGGGACAAGGTCGAGTAGCGGGGAGAGGAAGCTCTCTCACACAGTCACCAGGCCTGAGCTAGGGCTGGATCTAGGGGTCCCCAGAACGTGGCAGAAATTCTCACTGGCTGGCGGGGTTGGGGGGGTGCTGTGGTGTGGTGGGGCGGGGTCCCAAGGGGGTGGAAGAGGGTCTCATCCATGCTGCACTTGGGCTTGGACCGGCAGGTCCCTGTGGCGCAGGGTAGCCGGAAGCTCTCCTACACACCGGGTCCTGGGCTAGGACTGGATCTGGGGGTCCCCATAACACGGCAGAAATTCTCACTCAGTGGGCAGGGTGGTGTGGGGGTGCTGTGGAGTGGTGGAGGGTGTTCCAAGCGGGGGGAAAGAGGCTTTCACCCACGCTGCACCTGGGCTTGGACCGGCAGGTCCTTCCGGTGCAGGGTAGCTGAAAGCTTTCCCACACACTCACTGGGGCCTCAGCTAGGATTAGAGTTCTGAATTTTGAAGCTATATATACACAGTTACAACAGCCACACACTGGAATATAAACAGAATAATGAGGTCTGTACCTTGGCAGTATTATAAAATTGCACATAAATAGCAATATTTAATCTAAGAAATAATAAGTGGATTTCCTTTTTTTTTTTTTTTTTTGTATTTAGGACAGGGTTTACAGGGTCTCACTGCGTAGATCAGACGTGTGATCCTCCTGTTTACAGCCTCCCAAGTGCTGGGATTACAAGCGCGTTATACCATGCCTGTTCTCAATCATGGGGTCAGCATGGCAGGCCTGGGGATCGAACTCCCGGCCCCTGTGTCTGCCTAAGCAGGCACTTTAATCTGTTGAGCTATTTGTCCAGCCCCAATAAGTAGATTTCCTAGATGATATATTTAAACCCTAAAACTTAAATCACTAGTTTCGATGGAAACAAATTTTAGGTATCATATATAAGCTAACGTGCTAAGGGTCTTTATTTTGATAGATTCTGTTGTAGTGGGTTGCAGATACCTAGGTAGGACCTTAGCAGCTGACATGGGCTAGTGCCTGGCTCTACAGCCGCTGGATTGCTGGACCACTTACTCTTGTGGAGCTCACTGGGATTCACTGACTCACTTTACATGTAGCTGTTTGTGTCCCTGGCTGTGGGACATTTTCTTTTCCCTTGTCAACCAAAGTGCTTGAGTTACAAGATAGTTTTTCACTCAGAAGCCTGTGCTACTTCATTTCAAGGTCACTCCATAGATGGCTAAAATAGTGAAGAGCTAACCGTTGAAGGAACTCAGAAAGCTACTGCTAATGTAGGCAGATTACAGAGAGTGTGCTCCTGTAGAACATTCCAAAATCCACACTAAATCTATACACCATACTCTACACTAAAAATAGAGCTTAGGAGAGAAATTATCAGTAGGGTAACTGTGGATGTGTATGGTTGGCAAGACATAAAGAACACAGAGTTGAATACAGTTATTTATCAGTGAAAAAGAATTTTCTCATTTTAAAATGTTTTTTAAAAAAATAACTGCAAGGATAATTTGACTTAGGTTCTGATAGAGTTAAGTCTTCTGGTAGTACATTAACGATCTTTCTCTGTGTGTAAAATGGACTGAAGGTGCATTCTTATTATGAGCCATCTATTCATAAATGGTTAATCTCTAGCAACATGGGAAATGAAGTGTAGTTAAAACCCAGATCACTCAGTAGTTATTCACTTGAAAGGTATCCTTTAAACACAGCCATAAAAATAGAAGGGAGCCAGTGACTGCACGTGACCAGTAACTGTTGCCAGACCTGCGCATGGCTTCCATTGTGTGCCTTGCTGCCTCTCCTTAGTCTGGATTGATCATAGGCCCTCTGGGCACTGAGCGATCTGTGTGGCAGTCCTTGGGCCTCATTCTCGTTGATTTTTCCCTTGGGGATCTAAATGTTAGCTGTCTACTGAGCTCACTATCTCAGACCCCTTCCTATTCTGCACGTGGATACCCAGCTGTCTCTTGCCATCTCCCCTTGGATAGCCTTTGGGTTTCTGGAACTTAAGTCTAAAAGCAAACTTCGTCACATCCCCGCAGACTTCTTTCAATCTCTGTAAATAGCCTTCCTTTGCAGTTACCCACGCTGAAACCTTGGCTTCTGTGTTTCCTTTCCTTCATCCAGTTGCCCCCTCCCGTCTCCCTGCAGTCAGGTCAGCCTTCATATCAGACTCAGAATTAGACCACTTCTTACCTTCTTCGTGCTTTCTACTGTTGCTTACAATTAGAGTCAAATCACGATGCCTCTCTGCCCTAGTGGCATGGAGTCAAAGCCTCGGGTCGCACAGCTGCCTCCAAAGCCTGTGTGGTCTGTGCCATCAGGTCTTGCTTCAGATATGATGATATCATGATGATATCATTCAGATATCATGTGCCCCTGTGTCAGGATAAAGCCCCAAACCCCCGCCCGTCCTGTCTCCCTATATCCTGTATCTTTCTTCTCTCCAGAGCTCATTAACACACATTCATGTAGTAGCTCTTCCCTAGTTCTTTTGTCTCTGCGCTAGAACGGAAGCTCGAAAGGACAAGCATGTTAGTGTAGTCTCTGGCCCAGCACATCATTTGCATACTCAGAGGGTGCTTGTTGTATGAAGGGAGAGGCAGATTTGCCACTGATTTTTTTCTTCTCCTTTAATGTTTAATTAAATTTATTTAATGATGTATAAAACATAAAATTTTGTGTATCAATAAGGTAATGTTAAGGTTTGTTTCTGGATGTCCTCCTAAAGCCTTATGCAGTCATGGTGGGTAGGCTTTGCAAGGGCATCTGAGTCTAGAGTTTGTGACTGGTTCATTGCTTGGTGCTCGCATTTGGGATGTGAGTGCTATGTTTGTCCTAGGGTGGGCAGCCTGCATATGATATACGGGAGAGAAAGAGGCTTGCTTTCCATTTCCCTTTCATTGCTTTTGGTGTCTTCCACTGCCATGATTCATTGCCCCTCTGCCATGCCCCTGTGCCTTGGAGCCAATGCCACTTGTGATTATATCACAAAAAGGGATTTTTTTTTTTCACTTAAAATTTCAGTTTTTCAGACTGAAGAAAAAAAGCCTTTGAGTGAAGCAGCAAAATAGTTATTATACAATGTAAAGATTTAGACCCAAAGTGAAATAAGATAGTCTCTTCACATACTTTAATTTCTTTATAAATTGCTATTGCTTTTCCATCCTGCCCCCAGGGTGCACTAAGACAGAGATGGAGACTGGGTGTGGTGATGTGTGCCTGTAATCCTAGCGCTTGGGAGGCTGAACGCAGGAGGATCACTAGGAGTCCGATCTGTGTAGTGAGACCCTGTAGACCCTGTACTAATTACATTTTAAAAAAGGAAAAGAAAGAAATTGCTATTTAATTCTATATTCAAGTAGTCTCAACTTATCTGGAAGTTCCCAATGTGTGAAACATTCTGGAACGTTCCATATGCTGCCTTCACTTTTCATGGGCTATGAAAAGCTGAAACCATAAAGGGAGCGAGGCCACTCCTCCTGCGCTTCTATCTCCGGGGCCCTCTGTGGCTTCTGTTTGGAGCTGGAGGTCCTGAGAATCACATCACTCCTCCAGCCGAAATCTAGCACTGGCTTAGTCTAAATTAGTACAGTCTAAATTGCTGTTTGCTTAAAAAATGTTGGTAACACTCAATTCTCTAATCATTTTTGGCACAGATTCCATTTAGCCTGACATACATACGGTGAAAATGATCATCTTTCATATAATCTAAAGATGTTCAGTCTCAGGTGGGACTGTATTTGCTGTCAGGTGACACCTAATAGACACATCTGTTGACTTCACAAAGCCAAACTATTAAAAAATGATTGACTCATTTGCTAATGCTGCACTTACAGGGTATTGTATTATGTGGCAATTTTAGTTTGGTTATTTTAATTTGAATTTATATTTGAAATCTCAAACTTACATTTGAAAATTAAATATATAAATGTTTAATTTTTCTTTCCTTTTCCCTTTGTATTTTGCCAGCATTACTTGGAGCCTCCTGTGAAACTGAGTGAAGCTCTGGAAAGATACGGACTTAAGACTGAAGATTTTTTTGTCTTGAAGCACGGAGAATCAAGATACTTAAATACTGATGATTAAAACTTTAAATAAAGATGAGCAGAAGAGCTGTTAATGAAAAAGGCATACTTGATATAAATTTGAGAACAAATGAACAGACTAAGAAATTCATGAGTTAAGGCTTTTTCATTTGGAAACAATGCCTACAAGTGTGCATTTTGTTTTATGTAATAACTTGCTTACCAGTTATGATGACCAGCTCATGAAAACTGTGAAGGCAGTACAGGGGTGGGTTGTTTAAATAATGAGCAGTGGTCAATGTGGGTATAAAAATATATCAATGGTATAAGCATTTCAGTAAAATTTTTTTTAAACTAAAGCATTATACTTTAGTAGTAGTAGAATTTTCTGAGGCTGTGAAACACTGGTATTAAAGAGGCACCTGTTTTTCTGTCAGGGCTTCAAGATGAGCCAAGGCTGTCTGCCTGGATCTCTTCAGAGGCCTCTGCACACACATCTAATATGCACATTGTAGTAAGAGACACGGCTGACTCCCCCATGCTTATAAACGTAGCAGCTCTTGCGCCGTCAAGCTTAGCATATGCCAAATGTTAGGTGATGCATTTTGGTATGCATAAAAACAGGTGTTTGGGCCAAATTACCATTTTAAAAGACATTTTGTGATTAAAATACATATAACATTAACTTTTCATTTTAGCCATTTTAAAAGTGTAGGTTTTCTTGGCATTAGGTATGTCCACATTCTGTACACTCATGACTACCATGAGTTACATTTTTAAGAGTGGAACACATTTATGATTCCCCAAATTAGCTCTCTGGTCTGAGGCCGTAAAGGGAGACATGGTTGGAGGAAGGGAAAAGATGTGGTGATGAGAATGATTTATGAGATTTTCTATTTTTATTCTAAAACACCTTTTGGTAAGCACAGATATAGCTGTAATTATTTCAGAGATGATAAATGTAGATTTTACATGTAAATAGATGATATATTTTGACTTTGATTTCTTTCATTTTCCATTACTCTATATGCATATTTCTCCTGGTTTGCTAACTCTAATCTTATTATCAATAATATTTATAAATATTTTGATTCATGATTAAGATGTCTTACATATTTTTGTATTAAATGACCTCTAAGGATGGTATCTTTGGGGAACACAAGTGATTAAGAAAATAGATACTAGGTGTCAGCTAGTTGAATTTTATCAGCCGTACATGGTGGCACATACCTGCAATCCCGAAGCTCTTGAAGGCTGAGGCAGAAGGCTCACCGGGGAGTGTGTAAGACCCTATCCGAGGGCCACTACATGTTCCAGGCCCATAGGCTTGGTAAAGTAAACTTCACTGATACAAAATGAGTTTTCTAAACCAAATGCTATCTGGACATTGCTCTGTAATTGGAATGTGCACGGATGCACGCATGACACACTTAGTACTACATCTGAATTGTTTTCATTGTTTCATCTTGAATTTTCTTTGTAACCTGAAGTCACTATGCTCACTGTGCCTCTTCCTCATGTGCAACAAGAGGATAATTTTGACCTACCTCCAAATTGTGTCAAATAAAGATTCCCAAAAGCACTTTAGAGATCTAAAGGAGAACATGCTCTAAGAGATCACTGCCTCACGTAGGTAGGTACACTTGAAAGCTGAAAATAGGCTCCTAACAATTGCATCCCACTCATTTTATAAATTTGGAAATAATAGCTAATGCAGGTGATCTTTATTGAAATGGACTATTTTCACTGAAAAGTTTCAAATCAGCCAAAGGGAAGTGTTTGTGCAATATGTGTTTATAATGTATGTGAATACATGTGACTTGGGGATACTGAAGCACAAAAGAAATCCTAAGAGAAAATAAGCTCGAAGACAAAACTGAAGGAGCAGCAACCTCTCAGTCATGTGCACTAACGTGAGGACACGGGCGTCAGTCTGGGGCCAGCGTTCTTGTAGTCACATCCTTGTTGCTGCCCATCGAGCTGCAAGTTCATCTTGCCGCTGAAGCAAGCAAAGTGATGTCGCTTCAGTTCTTACTCTCCATGAATGGCCTTAGCATTACTCCTGTACATATGTGTACTCTTTAACAGCTCCTCCAACCACTTACATACTATGTTCTATTTAATTGGGCCTGCTTTGTTTTTCTAGGCTTCCTCACAAGCTTTAATTTTCATTGCCATTCACAGTCCTTATTCACTGATGTTATCAAAGATCAGTATCATGCCTTACCAAAACTCACTGAGTGGTTTCCACTTCTCCATTTACTTACATTTTGAAGGGTTTATGTGCAGGGTGAAGATACATTTTGAAAAAAGTTTATTCAATTCACTAATATACACTGTGACACCTTTTATCTCTTAACATCAAATTCAATTTCATGTTCACCTTTGATTAGAGGACATCCTGAGCAACATTCATACACCTCACCACCTAACAAAAGTTAAGATGTGTCTTCACCTACAGGAGAAGGATCTATTTGTGTATTTCACTGTTTTTCCTCAATAGCAATTACCCTTTACTCTAGCGTTGTGACATTTCAGAATCAATGCTCTAATTTACGAAGTAAAATTGGATTAAAAACAGGAAAAGTTTTAGAACCCAGCACTACTAAAGCACAATGAAAACAAATCCTGGTTTTTAATATGTGCACATGTTGAATACATATTTATATTAACTAGGGAGATAGGTTTTTAAATTGTTAAAAAGAGATGTGCCTTTCCAGGATTTATTATGTACCTCTACTGTATCACCAACATACAGAAGTATAATTCTTAGCTGTTATACTATTCCAGCCCATTGGAAATTTCAGTTTTTCATCATATATAAACCCTTTTTGAACTGTTAAAATATTTCTTCAGAGTTTGATTTCTGTATCAGGATAACCCTGAGGACATTTTTCAGTTTGAGTATTGTAATTTCCTTTGGAAATACTCTTGTGTATTTACAAATGAAACTTAAGAGTTCTCTTAGGGATTTAAGTACACAACTAGGAACCTGCTGCTTGAATATTTATTTACTCAGTGATAAGCATGATAGGGGATATGAACCTGAGTATTACAGAACCTGGCTGACTTCAAATATACTGATAGAGCTTATGGGAGAAAATATTATTTAAAGAAATACTACCTGAGAAATGTTCATATATTGTAATTTTAGTAAAAAACGGATGAAAATAAAATACTGTCAATAAGGGAAAAACATAAATAGCCTTGTCAGTTTTTTCCTTTTTATTAAAAACATACTATTTATGCTTATGGTAAAACAAACAAACACTTTCAAACAGTAGAAATGAGCATTCGTAGAAAAGTTCTATCCCTCACCTCCCAGTCTCTATCCCCTCCCAAGAGTTACTCTAGAACTGTCCTTTCCATAAATATTACTTTAAAAAACCCACATGTGATCATATTGTGCATATTTCCTTTACCACATGAGCTTTTTTTTTGTGGTACCAGGGATTGAACTCAGGACCTTGCATTTGCCAGGCAAGTACTTACTCTACTGAGCTATCTCCCTGGCCCTCACATGTGCTTTTGGGAACTATACATCATGGATGTTTTCTATGCTAGCACAGACTATCTTTTTTATACTGGCTAATTGATGCAACCTATTGCTTATGGATGGCCATTTTGACTGACTGCAGTATTTTATTGGTAACATATACAGCACCCAGGGAGTAGACAAGTACTAATTTATGTTTTTTTACTGACTAGAAATGGTGAGAATTGGTTCTGATGATTACAATAGACTTCTGAAACCAGTATGGCTAGCTTTGCAGGCGGATATAACTTGGGACCTCCCTGCTACTAAAGGGCAACACTGTTCTTATGGCAGTTTCTGAACAGTGAGAGAGTCCCATACAAATGGTATCTCAGATGAGTCACTCACTGTAAGTCACTTCCAAGAGAAGGGGGTCTTCTATATATAAAGGTCACTGCCACTTCATGTGAAGGCAATAGGTATTTCGACAAATAGCAGAACAGATTTCAGTCCAAACTTATATTTGTTTAGTATCAATAACATGGACTGGAAGATCTAGCAAGTTACATACATTGGGTATCCCTTATTTGAAATGTTGGGGGTCAATGTTTTATACTTTGTAGTTTTTGGGACTTTGGAATATATGCATAAACTTTTATTGGCTGAACACCCTCAATTAAAAAACCCCAAATCCGAAATGCTTCAAATATTAAATCTTTCAGCATCATGTCAAGTTGAGATGATCAACTTGTACTGTGTTAAAATATGTTCAAAATCAGCAGCTGGGAGAATGCTTTTATAAAAAAGACAGTAAGTTCCCGTGCGCTACCTTGCAGACTGCATTACTCTTGGAACAAGACAGCCAGTCAGAAGCCTGGTATTACTGTTAGAACCTTTTCTCTCACCTCCACATCATGATGATACACTAAAGCTTTCATTTTCTGGACACAATCCTCTCCATATAAAAGGGAGAACAAGGAACCTGTAGGGAGGGGAGGCCGAATAGCTAAAAGGCCTCCCCGCCGGAGGCAGTTATTTATATTCTGAAATAGTGTAAGTACTCGAAGGAGAATCTCTTGTGCTGTGTGGCCATCAAAAAGGGAAAGGAATGATGAGTCCACCTGAAATAGGAAACAGTATCATTTGCACATAAAATACTATTTTACATTTTAAAAATCTTGTCACAGAACTCTGCATAACTTATATGTGTAAAATCTTATACACTCCTGTACTGTACACTAATGGAAACAGGTTTTGCATTTTAGCTAAAAAGTAAGATCTTCAAATCCCAGAATGAAGTCATCTGGAAAAACATCCTTTCCCTTTTTAGGTAGGACCCACCATAGGGTTCTGAGACCTCACTGACTAGTCCCGTTTCTGCCACCCAGGTGGGGGCAGGGCTGAGCAGATGGACACGAGGACAGTACCTCTTCTGCAGGGGGTGGGCCCCATGCCATCTCAGCACCCTTTGGAACATGCAGAGCAGCTTCTAACTGTCTCATTCATTTATTACACATCTTTGTCTCCACCTGACCAGAGGCCTCAGAAGATAAAGTGGCCCCAGGAGATAAAGTACCACATGTCTACTCAGCCCGGCCTCTGGCACATGCTGGGGGCTGGGTTCTGCTGTCTCTGGTAGTATGCTGTTACAGAATATTTAGGAAATTCCTATGTGCAAATCATGATAACGCAACACCTTCACAGTGCTCCTCAGAGATAACCCCTGGGAACATTCTGCGGTGAATGTTTCCAGATCTATCTATCCAAACTTACAAATATGTGTATTTACAAAATAAGTATGTAATCTATTTACTTGGGCAGTGAGAAGTCCTTCTGTCATGGCTGGATTTTCAGACAAATTGACAAGCAGCTTCAATACTTGAACCTGAAATGAAAATACTAGTTTATTTCCGACCAGCAGGCAGGAATCTTATCTCTGGCTGGCCTTCTCCTCACTGTGTCCCCCTTGTGAAGTCCTGCCTGTGCTTTTAGACAGACTCAGGCTTTTCACGCCACCACGTCTGTCTCTCTGAACTCTGCGAGCCACTGGCCCCACTCGGAGGAATTATTACAGAGCAATGCTGCTCAGCCCTCTTCCAGTTCCACCGTTACGGACATGGGGGGATGCTGCGAATGCCTGCACAAGCCCCCTCACGACCCTTAGCCCCTGTAAGCTCTGAGGGGTACTAAGTGATCTCTAGTATGATTGCTGGGAATCATGGGAAATATGGGAAATATGTTCCTTGGAACAGAAAAAAACCTCTCAAAGTTTAGTTCATTTCTACTGAAGATATGGAAATTGTGAATCAGTTTGGTTACCAAGACTGAGTAAGTGATACAGCCACTTTTCTCTTACTGATTATGAGGGATCTCTGAGGTTATCTTTTTTATGTGAAAAATGTTTACAGTCATATGTATAGACACAGTATAATTAGTAAACAAATATTTAATAGCTGACTAAAATTTCAGCATTCTTATCATTTACTACTGAAAAATAATACAAATATTAAAATAGAATATCTGGAGCAGGGGAGATAGCTCAGTGATCTAAGTGCCTGCCTGACAAGCACAAGGACCTGGGATCCATTCCCTGTACCACATGCCATGCCACCCTGGAACCCCAGGTGCACTGTGCCAGCCAACTGTAAAACCGGGCATGGTGGTGCACACCTGTAATCTCAGTTCTGGGGAGGCTGAGACACAAGGATCACTACAAGTCCGAGCTGCGTAGCAAGACCCTGTACCAAGTAAATAAATAAAA